CATGGGCCTTTAGGTGCTTAAGTGCCTGGGAATTTGGGCCAAAGCAGGTCTAATCCCAACGTCCTCCTCATCCCCCATCCCAATAGGGTGCCCATAAGCTCTCCTGCCAAGATCCTCCATGAACTCTTGGAAAAGTGTGAAAACCATCTCAGGTGTGTGCCCTGCTCCATGACCCAGCTGGCCAAGGGCCACGAGACTTCCTAGGCTCCCCTGTGACCCAGCCCCAGCTGGCCCCACGCCTGAAGCTCTTGGCAGGCCTGGAGAGAAGGGGAAAGAGCGCTGCAATCCTGGCAAGAGCTCGAGCTCAGGCAGGAGCCTGAAAAACAGTGGACTCAAGGGGGAAAACTTCTCCTTTCCACTGCTGGGTCCATTCCAGAGCTTGCAGGCTACCCGCAAGTCCTCCTCACCTCCTGGCTTGTAGGTGCTGCAGTCCAGAGCCGAGGGATGCTTCTGCCATCCCTGGGCTGTTTTATCTCACAAGGTTCAGCACAGGGCACTTCTGAACCATCAGAAAGTGCCAGCGCTGTCCACAGAGCCACCCACAGACCCTGCTTTGCCCTGCTGCCCCCCAGCCTCCTGCCCTGCCATTTCCCAGCCATTTCCAGCCCGGTTTGGTCTGATTTCTGCAGCTCTGCAGCCTCATGCGGGTGTTTGAAACCTTCAGCAACACAAAACACAGCTTGCCCTGGCGGGATGCTCCTCGGGGTGCAGGGTGGGAAGAGGAGGGCTGGGGGGGACACCCCAACATCGCAGCCCAGGCACAGAGGGTGGGGGTCCCCGCCACAGAGTGAGAGACCCCACATCTGAGGGCTCTAGCTACCACAGATTTGTCCATGTTTTCTCTTCCTGGCTCATGTTTCAAAGCATTTGAGGAAAGAGCTGGTGGTCCAAGACAAGCAGATGTGGTAGGATCCCCAAGAAAACCCTGAGATGGGACCAGGCTGCGTCCATGCACCCAGCCTCCCCGGCCAAGGGGCTGTGGTTCAGCGTGTCCCAAGGCCACCAACTCCTCCTGCCACGACCCTCTCCAAAAAGCCCAACACAGCATCTCAGAGCAGAGCCAGGGGCCCCCAAGTCAGCCCCAGAGCGGAGGCTGGTGCCAAAGGGGCTACATCCCCCCCACCCCCAACATCCCTCCGCCACCGTCCCCTCCAGCATCCTGCCCCTGATCGCTGCGGGGATGCGGCGGGGGGGGGGACGACAGAACGGGGGTCCTGCCTTGCCGCCGGGTGTGGAGGAAGGATGCGAGAGGGGAGATGTGAGCTTTTCCACCAGCATGAAGGCAGCGAACCTATTTTAGGTGGTTTCCAGCTGTTGAGAGTGGTTCCTGTGGAGGCTGGGGAGTGTGGTACCCTCTGCTCCAGCCTGCTCAACCCGAGCAGTGCTCTTGCACCCCTCCATAGTCAAGAAAAGGCCCCTTGGGTGGACGCAGCCTGCCCCAGACCCCAGCAGCCAGGAGGGATGCTGCCCAGGGGTTTGGGGCAGAGGAGAGGGTTCGGTGGGATATCCCGGTCCCCCGACCATGCTGGGTGTGCGCTGGGGTTACCTCTAAGAGCAGGAGGAAGGCGGTGCCAACTCAGAGCCATGCAGGACCCTTCTCCATCCCGCAAAATCTGCCTCCACCTTGCACGAGTGGCCCATGCGCCTCCGTGTTTCAGTGTCCACGGGAAACACGGCCGTGGGAGCGAGGAGGATGCCTGAGACGGAGCATTAGGTGTCACCTGAGCACCTCCTGCTGCCATCCCGAGACACGTTACAAATGTCTCTGGGCACCATTTGCTCAAGACGCGCTGTCAGCGAACACCCAACCCCAGGACTCCCACCTTGCACGAGTGGCCCATGCGCCTCCGTGTTTCAGTGTCCACGGGAAACACGGCCGTGGGAGCGAGGAGGATGCCTGAGACGGAGCATTAGGTGTCACCTGAGCACCTCCTGCTGCCATCCCGAGACACGTTACAAATGTCTCTGGGCACCATTTGCTCAAGACGCGCTGTCAGCGAACACCCAACCCCAGGACTCGCTCTGCGGCCGGGTGCATGGGCAGCGGACGGGTCCACGTGGAAAGGAGCAACCCGGTAGGCTGTTACTCCCAGCTCGCAGTGCCCAAGGCCGGGGTGGGCAGGGGCAGCCGGAGCCGGGCTGCGATGCACCATGTTCCCCCCCCTCCCTGCCAAGCTGCGCTCCCAGTCCCCGCTCTGCCTAATTAAACAGAGAGCCTAGAAAGTCCAGTGGTGACTTTGCTTCTCCTTCAGACAGCTCTTCCCAGCCAACAGTCCTGTCGTCCTCTCCCCCCAGTTGGCCAGTACGTGACAGAGACGTGGAAACCCTTGCACACCCCTTCTTGGAACCTGAAATACAAGCGGTGACTTGCTGGGGACCCCCGGAGTGGAGATGGCATTTGTGGGGTTGTCGGCAGGAGGACAGAGCAGGGGTGCACGGAGCCTCTCTCCCTGCTGCTCCCAGTCCCTGTTGGCTGCGGCTGTGAAATGCATTTCCCTTCCCCGCTGTCCCCTCTCCCCAGCCTCGGCAGAGCTGGGGCTCCCTGTGAGCGGGCCGGGGATGTGGGGGTTACGCGTGCCAGACAGCCCACGAGACCCCCTCTG